CTCTTATTTTCACTTACTTTATATTCTACATATTAGTGACACCATCTGATATTTATCTTTCTCCTTCTGACTTATTTTATTTAATATTATCCCTTCCAGCTCTCATTCATGTTGCTGCAAATGGCATGAGTTTATATCTTTTTGATTGCTGAGTAATATTCTATTGTGTATATATACCACATCTTGATCTACTATTCTTTTTTTTAAAGATTTATTTATCTATGCAAAGAAGAGCTGGGGTACAGGCCAGAGATGCAGAGGGTGAGAGGATTCACCAGAGACAGAGTGGGGTACAGAACAGGCAGACTGACTGAAATACACTGCTGAGGGGAGCAGCGGGCGAGACAGGAGAGATCTGCCTGGCTCGCCATGTGGGTTTCTCCCTGGCCGGCCGGGGATCGAACTCATGCTGCAGAAGGTGCGGATTGCTTCATGGTACGGTGCTTAACCCCTTGTACCACGAGGGAGGCCCCTTTATCTAATATTCTATTGTGTATGTATACCACATCTTGATCTACTCATCCATTTGGAGGCACATAGATTGTTTCTATAGTTTAGCGATAGTAAATAGTGCTGCAATAAATAAGGGAGTGCAAGTTGCCTTTCGAATTAGTGTTGTTGTTGTTTTTTTAATTTTGGGGGTAGGTACATAGTGGAATTACTCCATTGAAGGGCAGATCCACTTGTAATGTTTTGAGACACCTCCATATTGCTTTCCATAAGAGCGGGCCCAGTTTGCATTCCCATCAGCAGTGTAGCAAGGTTCCCTTTTCTCCACATCCTCACCAGCACTTGTTTCTGGTCTTTTTGATATGAGCCATTCTCATAGTTGTTAGAAGGTATCTCATTGTGGTTTTGGTTTGCATCTCCTTAAAGATAAGTGATGGTGAGCATTTTTTCATGTGCCTGTTGGCAGTTTGTGTGTCATCTTTGGAGAAGTGTGTTTAGTTCTGCCCAGTTTTTTTTTTTTATTGGCTTATTTCTTTTTGTAGAGTTTTATGAGTTCTTTGTTTATCTTTGATATCTGTCCTTTGTCAGATGTATAGTGTGAAAATATTTTCTCCCATTCAGAAGGGTGTCATTTCATTGTAGTCATGGTTTCTTTGTACTGAAGTTTTTCAGTTTGATGGAGTCCCAGTTGTTTATCTTCTTGTTTGTTTTTCTTACTGTTGGGGATGAATCCATAAAGGCATCACTAAAGCTTATATCACGAAATGTTTTGTCTATGTTTTCTTACATATCTTTTATGGTTTCAGGCTTTACATCCAAGTCTTTTATCCACTTTGAATTGATTTTTGTATATTGGTATGATAGTATTCTTTTGCATATAGCTGTCCAGTTTCCCCAACGCCATTTATTAAAGAGGCTATTCTTAGCCCAGTGTATATACTGGCTCCTTTGCCCTAGATTTACTTTCCATATAGGTGTGAGTTTGTTTCTGGGCTTTCAGTTCTGTTCCAATGGTGTGTGTCCGTTTTTGTTCCAGTACCAGGCTTTTTTAATTATTGTGGCTTTATAATATAGCTTGACATCTAGAAGTTTGATTCCTCCATTCCCTTTCTTCTGTCAAAATTGCCTCTGCTATTTAGGGTCTTTTGTGATTCCATGTGAATTTCAATAGTATTTGCTCCACTTCTTTGCAGTGTGCCATTAATATTATTATTGGGACTTCAGTGAATCCACTTATTTTTTTTGGTGGAATGGCAATTTAACAATGTTGACTCTTCCAATTCATGAGCAGGGAATATCTTTCCATTTCCTTGTGTCTTCTGTTTCTTTCAACAATGTCTTATAGTTTTCTTTGTATTGATCTTGTACCTCCTTTGTTAGGTTTACTCATAGGTATTTAATTTTTTTGGTGTAATTGTAAATGAGATCACTTTCTTCATTTCTTCATATTCTATCTCATAGTTTGTGTATAGGAAGGCAATTGATTTTTGTGTATTGATTTTATACCCTGCCACTTTGCTAAGCTGATTTATTGCTCAAATAGTTTTTCTGTGGTATCTTGAGGGTGCCCCTATATATTATCATGTCATCTGCAAATAATAATAGCATTACTTTTTTTTTTCCAAATTCAGATTGCTTTTGTATTTTTCTCTTGTCTAATTGTTCTAGCTAATAGTTCAATACCATGTTGAATACCAATGGTGAAAATGGATATCTTCCTAGCATTCTGTCCTTGCATAATTGAGCTACCTAATCCCCATTCCCACATACCTCTCTTTTGAGTAATCCTCAGTAATTCTTTCTAATAGCATTACTTGTAAAACTAATGCCTACCTGTAAACAAAAGGAATAGCTACCACCAAAGCACTCTGTTAGTGTTTGGAAGTCTATAAAGCATGGAGTTCTCCATAAAAGCTTTAGGGCCATCGGCCTCCCTGGTAGTACAGGGGTTAAAATCACAGCGCTATCAAGCTATTGCCAGCCACTGTGGCCTGAGTTCTATGCCCGGCAAAGGAACTAACCCACATGGCTCAGCAGAGCTCTCCTGTCTTGTCAGCTGCTCCCTTCAGCAGTGTATCTCAGTAGATCTGTCTGTTCTGCTTCCCACTCCATCCCTGGTGAATCATCACCTGCCACACCTCTGGCCTAGACCCCAGTTCTTGTATGCATAAGTAAATAAAAATAAATCTTTTTTTAAAAAAAAGCCTTAGTGCCAGGTTTAATTTTGTGGTTAATTTTAATGGGAGTCCTATGCAAAGACTTAGATTAGACTCTAGGATTTATACCAATACCTCTCTCCTAATTTATACCCCTAATTTTATTCCAGCATTTTAAGATCTTTTTTTTAAGTCTATGCCCATGTTAAAAGAATTTTAGGATGAAAATCTATTAATTCTTTTAAAAACATGTCACTGTAAATTTGAGGTATCATTATGATTTCCCCCTAACCACTTAAGCAAGTGTATCATTATTTAGAGTTTAATATTAGTTTTGAGCCATTGCTTTTCATGTAAAATTTACATGCATTGACATGTCCAAATCTGAAGTGCTCACTACCTGAATTTTGACAAATGATAAATCTGTATAACCCAATCCCTATCAAGATATAGAAGACTTTCACATCCCCTTTTTTCTACCCAAACTATTCCTGCTTGACTTCCTTATAGTCTAGTAATTAAGGTAAGAAAAAAGCTTGTCAGTGCTTCCAGGACAAACAGGGATCAATGTTTCATCATAGATAAGCAGATCTCTTCTCTCTTGCCTAATGTATCTTGTGTTAAATTGTTTAAGACTGTTTTAAACAGAGGACTGAATATCTTTTCAGTTTTTAAATAAATTATTATTTTGGAAAATACTGTCTTGGTATAAATACCTTATATTGATAGTTACATATTTTATAAGACAAGAGCTCTGTTTTAATGAAATGCAAGGACATTCATAGGAAAGGAAGTGGAAGTTATATTGGAAAAATCACCCAAATATTAGTGCAATATGTTAATGTGTTTTTAATTCTTTAAAATATATATTATGTTTATCTAATGTCACTACATATCATGGTCTATCTGGATTATAGTGGCATGCCATTTTTTCAAGCATATCAGTATTTTATAATGTGTTTTTAGGAAATACCCACTAAATTCCTCTTACCATTTGTCTTGGGTATTCATCATTTTTAGCTGTTCATTTTATTTTTTATGCCTGGTAAATACCTCTTATTTTCCTTATTTTTGATTTGGTGTAACATAATTTATACCAATATATTTAAAATATGATAAAGTTTGAAATTATTTGCTTGCATTTTGTGAGGAGGAACATATATTTTTTAATGAAATAATCTGGTCCCAAAAGGAGAAGCTGTGACAAAAGTAACTTGTGATATTTCCATAATAAAAAGTTATAGCAAACACACAGGCATTTGCATATATTTCCTGAAATATTGCCTACTGGCTTTGTCGTCTGTGCTGGTAAGTCCATTTCAAGGATGTCGCCCTTAGTCCATTAGTTTGGATAATGAGCCCTATAAAGTACATTTATAACTTGTGGCACTGCAAGGGAATGGATTCTAATTTTCATCCTTTTATCTAGACACAATGAAAGAAGGTCAATGGAGGGTTCTCTATGATTCATTGTCCCAATACATATCAGATGACAGAGACCTGATAATGTTCGTGCATAAGTGTTTTCCTTATTTGGAAACAGTACTTGAAAGAAATCTTTCTATGATCTTCCTTTGAAGTAAAGTGGAAACAGATATTAAAAGTTTTACCCTTTTTTCCTTTTTAAAACATTATCACACATGTGACCAGACAGCTATTCTTGAACAAGAGAGAAAGCAATGCTTAACATCAAAATAAAAAGCCTTTAGTGACTTTTATGGACTGTGAATGATTTAACAAGTTATTTAATAAACTTTTCTCTTCCCCTTATATATGTTAAGAACAAAAGCCTATTTTCTAACAAAGAAAGGCTTCCACATTCCTAAACATTAGAAAAGCTTACACTATAATACTATCCTAACTTTATTCTTATTAGCACCATCGAAATAAGTATTTACATTCTATTTTATGTTTATTTTGTAGTTTAAAAGACTAAAGTAGTAACAAAAATATGTATTCTGTAGTATAGTCAGTTTTTTTTCCCAGATTGTGAGATATTAGGCAATTTTTTAATCATGTCATCTAAGAAGTTGGTTTTCTTATTTAAAAAGATTTATTTATTTGTGCATATAAAAACTGGGGTACAGGCCAGAGATGCGGGAGGGTGAGAGGATTCACCAGAGACAGAATGGGGAGCAGAACAGGCAGACTGACTAAATTGCACTGCTAAGGGGAGCAGTGGGCGAGGCAGGAGAGGTCTGCTGCACTATGTGGGTAGCTCCCTGGCTGCTGCAGAGGCTGCGGATTGCCTCACAGTGCTGTGCTTAACCCCTTGTGCCACCAGGGAGGCCTAGAAGTTGGTTTTCAATTTAAAATTGGTAGCTGATTATGGTTATTCTTTCAGTTATTTAATCATTAATGAGAACTTTCTGCTATACTTATCTTTTTTTGTAGATGTAAAGCAATCATAGATCAATTTGGTCAGAGAATAATCGCTAAGCATTTCCTTGTGGAAGACAGTTACTTTTCTGAGAACACATGCTCACATGTGCAATACAGGTAAGAAGCCCTCCATTTACTATCCGGGGAAGGTAAAAGTTAGGAAAATTTAGCAGTGTGATTACATTGGCACTTCTGCATGACTCTGTACTTCACAAAGATATTTTCAGTATATCCCTGCTCTGGGTATATTTTCAGTATACCCCTGTCTTGGGGAAGCCTATCTTAACTTCAACTCCTTTGCATCTGCTGGGGATTGTCTGCAGGTCACACATCCTCCTTTCATGAGCCAAGACCTTGGTTTGAGGAGGAGACACTTTTAATGTGACTTAACTCTTTGAAACATGCCTTCTGGTAGTTATGTAACTATAAATGAAACATATCTGTGGTATCTGAATCACTGATTTGTGCATTACAGGCAGATCTCCAGGGCGATCCTGATTACAGATAGATCTGTACTAAAAGCAGATTCTGATCAGCAGGTAATTTTAATTCTTCACTTTTTAATAACATGTAACTAATTTAACCTACATTATAATATGTATAAATTAGTATTGGTGAAATAAAATACACTAAGCTGTATGTACAAATAATCTTGGTGTCTTAAGGATTTTCTTCTGTTGGAACACATAATTGAGTCTTATGTAAGATTTATTCTAGGAAAATTGAAGTAAATTCTGGCTTTCAAGAGCTATTTTTTTGTACAAGTAGTTTATTTGGGAAGCAAAATAAAATACTTGTGGGGAAGTGGAAAAAAACAGAGGACAAAGAAGGAACAAATTACAAATTATTATCATTTGATAACACAGTTACTACTGTCAATAACTGATGCTTAATCCTGTTAAGCAACTCCTAGAAACAGCAGAAAACACATGTACACTTACCTTCTACCAAAAACTTGGATGTATATATGCCTATCAACTCCCAGTTGCTTTCTGGAAATGCATTAATATTCTCTGAAACTTTGTCACCTGTTTCTAAGAATTGAAAATATATTGTTATGGGAAGAAAAAGAGTATTCCCAGAGCATACATTTAAAAATCTTGGAGGAAAGAGGAAATGCAAATGGCCAACAGGCATATGAAAAAATGTTCAACATCACTCGTAATCAGGGAAATGCAGATCAGAACTACAATGAGATACCATCTTACATCAGTGAGAATGGCACATATTAAAAAAACTAGCAACAAAAAATGTTGGCGAGGTTGTGGAGAAAAAGGAACTCTCCTGCATTGCTGGTGGGAGTGCAAACTGGTCCAACCACTATGGAGAGCTATGTGGAGATTTCTTGACCTACTAAACATAGAGCTTCTATATGATCCAGCAATTCCACTCCTAGGTATTTACCCAAAGGACACAGAAACATGAATTCCAAAGGGCACCTGCACCCCTAGCAGCACTATTTACAATAGCTAAGCTTTGGAAACAACCCAAATGCCCAAAAATAGATGACTGGATCAAGAAGATGTGGTGCATATACACAATGGAATATTACTCAGCAATCAAAAAAGGTAAACACATGCAGTTTGCAGCAACATGGATGGAGCTAGAAGGGATCATGGTCAGCAAAATAAGTCAGAAAGAAGAAGAAAAATACCGGATGGTCTCACTCATAGCAGGAATTTAGAAAACCTAAATAAGGGACCAGGAAAAGACTAATTAATACAAAGTAAAAATCAAAATCAACAAGCAACTGTGGACCAGAGACACACTGGGAGGGGGGGCAGGGTGAGGAAGGATTAGGGCCAAAATAAGGGGGGGGTGCAATTGTATGGGGAATATAACCAAAATGAAAATGCATACATTGTGCAAAAATGAAAAATGATGTAAGAATTATATAAAATAAAATATTTTTAAAAAGAACAACATGGAGAAAAAGAATTTAAAAAATTAAAAAATAGTATAGCGTCCTTTGAGACAAATAATATCCATATCATGAGGCGTCCAGAGGGAGAAGAGAAAAAGAAAGGCATACAAAATTTATTTAAAGAAATAATTGTTGAAAATCATCTCAATCTGGGAAACAAACCAGACATTCTGAGAGGTCCAAAGAGTTCCTAGCAGAATAATACCAGACAGACACCCTAAGGCATATTATAACAAAGCTGTTGAAAACCAGTGACAAGGATAGAATATTAAAAACATCAAGCAACAAAAGAGTAACCTATAAGGGCACACCAATCAGACTGTCAGGGGAGTTTTCTGTAGAAACATTACAAGCATGAAGGACCTAGGAGATATTTAAAGTACTTAAAGACAAAAAAGAATAAGGAAAAGCAAAACTACAAAAAAAAAATCAACACCAAGTTATACATGAAATAAATTCTAAAGGAGTTACTATAAAGCAACAGAACAGGAATTTCAAGGCAATAGACACCTAAATCACTTAACATGAAAAGGAGGGAAGTAACAATGGGCCCATCCAAATGAGTTAAAAATCAGACTATCCTACAAATTGCTCATCCTATACTAAGCTCAGTAGAGACATCAAGAAAAAAAATAAAAATAAAAATCTTGGAGGAAAAGTCTTTATGGTAACCAACCCTATAGCAGCCCATGTACATAACTTAATCTGAATGAGTTTCAACATATTTTTCTAGATCCAGTATTTCCTTACCACCATTGCTCATTTCAGTACTTTCTTCCTCCTCCTCATCCCCAGTTCTACAGAAATGTTATGTGCCTATGGATTTTCTTCAGTTTGAGCAATTAATTTCTGGAGATATACCCCCATTCCTTCTGACCATATTCCACAGTGACTAATAAAATCAGCTTATTCTTTGTGAATGTTAATCCTCTTTATGGAGTTGCTAAAAATGGCTTTCTAAAATCCCTTAAGTTGGAAACTTTGTTATGTAAATACTTTATTTAAATCATTTAGCAAACAATGATTGATTTTTATATGCTACTCTATTTGCTGGGTTCTGAGGAGACAGGAGTAACCTTGATAGCATTTCTGTCTTCATAGCTTACAGGCTGAAGGATACAGATAGAGACAGATAAGTATCAGCTAGAGTTCAGCCTGGCAAGTGTGAATAAGGCATTGTATAGCATCTATCATAACAATCTCACACTATCCTGTTATAGCCAGTTGATTTATCTGAGATACAGTTAACTGTATCTCAGTTAAACCACTTTGTGAGTAGGTTGAAGAGTGACAGGCAGAAAAGTGAAGAAAGTAAATAGAGATTTCTGAAGAAGCTAAGCTGTGAAGAGTAAGAGAGCGGGGGAGTGGTCCCTAAAGAAGGATGTGGGAGTGAAGATGGCTTTTTCCTAAAAACTTAGTGTATATTTCAGTTGATGAGATGGCACCAGTACAGGTAGACTGCATATACCAAGGGAAAAGGGAGGATAATTGATGCGGCAATGTTTAGTAAAGACAGGGGAGGATGGGATTCAGAGAATCATTGCCCTTAAATAGGATGTGAGACACCTTGGAAAAAGAAGTGAATGCAGAATGTAGGTTTGGGGGTTGCCATCTGATGGGTTCCATTTCCTCTTTAAATTATGAGGTCATCTTCTGAGAACTGGGTTGTAAGGGGGAGATAGGTCAAGGTTCAAGGACAGGTATAAAATAATCAGTGTGGTGGGTTGGACGGTGACCTATCTTGTGGTCAGGTAACTGGACAGTATTAATGGTCCAGGTGAGCCTGGAAGTCACGGGTTACTGAAGGATTAATCTATTCCTATCCTTCCACCTCTTTTACTCTTTTACCCAAATCAGCCTGCTCACTGACCTAGTTTCCCTTTGGTTTCCTTCCAGATTACCAGCCCACTTCTGCCCTCTTCCTTTTCCATGTCCTAGACACTATGATGGGTCTTCCAATCTGGTCTTCCTCCAATACCTTTATTTCCCATATGGCATTGTTCTTCCACTATGACTCATGGAAGAAAATTCCATCTCTGGATGAGGCTATAATCTCTACCTGGATCACTGAGGACTGGTTGAGAAGACCACACAACCAGATGGACTGGCACCACCTCATAGTGACAGGTGCACACCTCATTCAGCTGGACCCTCAGGTCTCACCAGTTAGCTTTTCCACTGACTTCTCTCCTTTTCCCCTCATTGCCTACTCCAGGTCTTTACTTTTACCTACTCCTCTCTCCCTGGCCCCTGTCACCAGCTCCCCCTTGACTGAGAAAAGTGAGCTACCCACTAATAATGTTGTTGATTTCTTCCTGCTCCACCCCTTATAATTTATATATACCAGCACAGAAACTGATGGCCTTTTCCAAGGCCAATTCCTTTCACAAGTGCCGTTGGCACACATACTCATATTCGTGGCACTCTGAATGCCTGTTCTCTCTCCTGCATTTTCAGCCTCTCCCCTGCTATTGGCACCTTCCCCTCAATCTGTATACATGTGCTAGCATTTTCTGTTACAAAAACAAAAGAACTAAAAATATGTTCCCTTGATTCTCCCCCCATCTCTATCTAGTATCCACTCCCTCCACTGGTCTTATCAATTTTTGATAAGACAGTATCTATATGTGCTGCCTCCAGCTCCTTACTTCTAATTCATGTTTAGGTCAGCTTGGCTTGTGCCATCACATTTCTACCACAATTTCTCTCACTAAGTTTATTGATATCTTTGTAATAATCAGGACCACAGGATAATTTTTGGTTCTTTTCTGCCAGGTATTTTCTGGTACATTTAATAATGGTTATTTTTGCTTTTCTCTTGAAATTCTGTATGCCTTTGGCTGTCAAGCCATTGTGCTTTCCTTGAGCTCATGACTGAGAGATATCTCTCTGCTTCCTTTATGGACTATCCTCTTAATTATTGGGCCTCCTCAGAGTTTTTGCCCTAGTTCATAGTATCCATTGTTCTGAACACACACACACACACACACACACTGCTTGACACCATGTACTCATGGTTTCAATTCTGCAAAATGTTGGTGACAGTCACTTCTATACTTCCCAGGAGTATTGGCCCACATCCCAAACTTCCTGTTGGACATTAGCCCAAGAATCAAGAATTCCTCAAATTGAACGTGTGCAAACTGAACTCACCATTTTCCCTCTGAAAACTACTCTTTCATTATTCCCTCACCTCTGTGAATAGCTCTGACATTCTTTATTTTATTATATTTTATTTTATTTTATATAATTTTTACATCATTTTTCATTTTTGCACAATGTATGCATTTTCATCTTGGTTATAGGCCCCATACAATTCCCACCCCCCTTGTTTTTTTTTTTTTTTTTATTTGGATAGGCATTTGAGGGATTATTTTTAGCCTTGCCACACTTTTCATTTTCACTTATTTTTTTTAATTGAGGTAACAATGGTTTAAAACACCATGTATGATGTAAATGAAGTCTCACCACTCCTCAGTAGTATGTGAATTGGCAGAATTTTAATACTTCTGATACTTATTTTAGAACAATGCCTCATTTTTTTTAAAGATTTATTTATTTATTTATACAAGCACTGGGTACAGTCAGAAGCGCAGGAGGGTGAGAGAATTCACCAGAGCCAGAGCAGGGAGCAGAGCAGGCAGAAGGACCGAAGTACACTGCTGAGGGGAGCAGCGGGCGGCAGGAGAGGCCTGCCCGCCATGTGGGACCCTCCTCTGGTGGCCAGGGAGCAGCCGGGGATCGAACCGGCGGCGTGGAGGCTTCAGGCAGCTTTGCAACCCAGCACTCAACAGCTGCGCCACCAGGGAGGCCCAATGCCTCATTTTTTAATTAAAATTTTATTTTTATATTCCCCATACAATTACAACCCCCTTATTTTGACCCCAATCCCTCCTTTCCCCGCCCCCCCACCCCCCATAGAGTATCTCTGATTCATAGTTGTTTGTTGATTTTGATATTTTCTTTCTTATAGTTATTCTTTTTCCTGGTCCCTTATTTAAGTTTTCTAGATTCCTGCTATGAGTGAGACCATCCGGTATTTTTTTTCTTTCTGGCTTATTCTGCTGAGCATGATCCCTTCCAGCGCCATCCATGTGGCTGCAAATTGCATGTGTTTATCTTTTTTGAATGCTGAGTAATATTCCATGGTGGATATGTACTACATCTTCTTGATCCAGTCATCTATTTTTGGGCATTTGGGCTGTTTCCAAAGCTTAGCTATTGTAAATAGGGCTGCTATAAACATAGGGGTGCAGGTGTTCTTTGGAATTGATGTTTCTGTGTCCTTTGGGTAAATACCTAGGAGTGGAATTGCTGGATCATATAGAAGCTCTATGTTTAGTAGGTCAAGAAATCTCCACACAGCTCTCCATAGTGGTTGGACCAGTTTGTACTCCCACCAACAGTGCAGAAGAGTTCCTTTTTCTCCACAACCTTGCCAACATTTGTTGCTAGTTTTTTTTAATATGTGCCATTCTCACTGGTGTGAGATGGTATCTCATTGTAGTTTTGATTTGCATTTCCCTGATTACAAGTGATGTTGAACATTTTTTCATATGCCTGTTGGCCATTTGCATTTCCTCTTCAGAGAAGTTTCTTTTTAGCTCTTCTGCCCATTTTTTGACAGGATTATTTTCTTTGTTTTTGTTGAGTCTCATCAGCTCTTTGTAGATTTTTGTGATCAGTCCTTTATCATTAGTGTTGTGTGCAAAAATGTTCTCCCAGTTGGTGGGGTTTCTCTTTGTTTTTGTTATTGTCTCTTTTGCTGTGCAGAAGCTCTTTAATTTGATGTAGTCCCAGCTGTTTATCTTTGCCTTTACTATCACTGCTTTGGGTGATGTGTCTGTAAAGATGTGTTTGATGTGCATATCATGTAGTGTTTCGCCTATATTTCCTTCTATGTATTTTATGGTTTCAGGTCATATGTCTAGTTCTTTAATCCATTTTGAGTTGTTTTTTGTGCATGGTGTGAGGTAGTAGTCAAGCTTCATTCTTTTGCATGTAGCGACCAAGTTTTCCTAGCACCATTTATTGAACAAACTTTCTTTGCTCCAATGCATAGTCTTTGCTCCTTTGGCAAAGATTAGTTGACCATAAATCTGTGGGTTTATTTCTGGATTTTTTATTCGATTCCATTGGTCTGTGTGTCTGTTCTTGTTCCAACATGCAGTTTTGATGATTATGGCTTTGTAGTATAGTCTGAAGTCTGAGAGTGTGACACCTCCATTCCCTTCTCTTTTTTTCAGGAGAGCTTTGGCTGTTCAGCCACCCCCCTTGTTTTGATCCTACTCCCTTCTCCCCCACCCTATAGTGTGTTTCTGGTTTATAGTTGCTTGTTGATTTTGATTTTTACCTTATTATAATTAGTGTTTTTCCTAGGCCCTTATTTAGGTTTTCTAAATTCCTGCTGTGAGTGAGACCATCAGGTATTTTTCTTTTTCTTTCTGGTTTATTTTGCTGACATTCTTACATTAACAACTTCTTCCTCCCATCTCTGCCATCTTATGTGCCTTCAGTTCCTGACAATGTACTTCCTAGAAGCTGCTCCAGTCTGTCTTTCCTCTGAATTCTTTTTCTCGGTGCTCCAGTTACAGAACTCATTTTCTCTGCCCCTTTCTAGTTGTTCTTCCTCTCATCTAGTCTTTCCAAAATTCATCCTTCACACATCACAGTGATTAAAATGAGTACCTGGCTTGCCTTTCTTTGTTTCCTATATAAGGTTGTTTTTCCCTTCTCTTTAAAATTTTTGAAGTGTAGAGAGACTTAGGTAAGACTTAGAGGAACGAATAGGTGAATGGCTAGGTAAATTTTATGGAAATGGTATTATGGGGTTGAGGAAATTCTCTTTTAATGAATTATGTAATTTCTCTTGGACTTAAGATAATGTCAGAGTTCAGGAGACAGAAGGCTCTGTCATAGGAGGTTACTGATCGTTTCTCAACATGTCTTAGTGTCTTCTCTCAAATGTAAAGTACAACTTTTATCTTTTTGAGATAGCATTGGTTTATAGCATTGTATGTTTTAGGAGTATACAGCTTCACATCTCCCCAAATGTGTATAACACATCATATCCACTATTAAAGATCTAGTTACTGTCATTTGGTATATGTTGACATATACTTTGCTTGTTTTAATATCTTTGGGATTTATAGCATTTTTGATTTGTAGTACTGTATAACTGCTATTTTTAGCCATTCGGAATAATCAAAATTGATTTATGATGACCTGACTTCAAACACTCAAGTGCATATCATTCAGAAGTAATGTCATAATTGTATCCTGTAAAAATAATAAATGAAGGATTTAATAAATATTAAAGATACTTGAAATTTTTATTGTCTGTTAATTCTGAGTACAAAATATATGATATGTAAGTATGCAGAGATTGGACATTAAGACCCATGTGCCTGTTACATACTTTAAATTCTCTTCCAAGATTCTCTTCCAAGATTTAATCCTTACAAGTTTTTTTTTTTCAAACATCAATGACTATGTGAAAAGGACATTCAGTTTGAATGTTAACTATACTCTAATGATAGAAGAAGGAAACTGTGATCTAACAGTTATGTCTATATTTTGTTTCTGCTTTTTAGATTTCCATTTTGACAGTACCAGCAGAGGAACCAGGGATGTTTCCTGTTCGGGTCATTGAGTTATGCTCTTCAACAATGACATGCATGAAAGGCACTTGTAAGCATAGTAGAGTCTGGTTGTCTTTTGTGTTTGTTTAGGGAGTAAAAGGGCTCAGGGTTATTCTTATATTTTGCCATATATATTTTTTTTTTACTCATAGTATTTGTTCATACTGTGAATGTTCATACAGTAAGTCATTTAATACATGTTTTTTTCCTCTAAACATTTCTGTGGCTAAATCTTCATGGACACTGTTGTTAAGTATTCCAGTGAAAGAGTTTCTGTAACTCTCCAGTGCTTCCTGTTATTTTTTTTAAGGTTATTGGAAACATTTCACAACATTCATTTTCTTTAAGAGTGTTATTTTTTTTCCTTTTCCTTTTTTTTTTCTTAAACATGTTTCAGTAATCAGGAACTAGCAAGTATGCAATGAACATAACTGACTAGATCTAAATTGGGTACTGTAGGGATTATAAAGCAGCAGAGGTTGGCATGCCTGATTTGAAGTGTTTGTAATCATATTGCATACCCAATAAAACAAGGCAATATTAACTAGTACAGTGTATTCTGCTAGGTATTTTCAGGATAGTAAAGATTAATAGGTAACTTCCCAGAACTTAGGGGACTCATAATCTAGTGGAACAAATAAGAAAAATACAAAAGTAGCTGTAAAAGATGCAGAATAGGGCCTCCCCTGGTGGCACAGCGGTTGAGCACTGGGTTGCGAAGCTGCCCACAGCCTCTGCAGCGCCAGTTCAATCCCTGGCCACTGGTGAGGATCCCACATGGCACTCAGACCTCTCCTGCCACGCCCCCTGCTCCCCTCAGCAGTGTATTTCGTTGGTCTGCCTGTTCTGTTCCCCGCTCTGGCTCTGGTGAATTCTCTCACCCTCCCGTGCTTCTGACTGTACCCAGTGCATGTATAAATAAATAAATAAATCTTTAAAAAAAAAGAAAAGATGCAGAATATGAAAGTTCCAGAAGAGAGCTACCAGCATACTGTGGACTCTAGACATTCATATGAAAGAAGCATATCATTAGCTAGATTCTTTTTTTTTAAATACTGTAAACTTATATTAAGTTTTACTTAAACTGTTATATGAATTTTGAGAAAGAGAAGACGAGCTTGGCATAATCAAGTAAAACAGACTATGTTTTTAAGCATGTAACTACTACTTAGCTAAAAGATGACAAAAAAATGTGGTTAAACACAGAAGTGGGAGCTTGATGCCAGCAGAGAGAATGAAGAAAATTTGTCCAGCATTGCTCTAATCCTACATTTTGATTTGAAAAGTAGATCAGACAAGATTTTTCTCTTTTCATATTGAAGTGATGTTGATGAATATTGTGACAATATTCCTTATTATTTTTCCCTTACTACTTTAACTTGGCTTTTTCATATCTTTTTATCTGTGTTGGCATCTTCAATATAAGCAAAAATTTCCAAAAAATGGGCCACAATGCCCCTCCAAACCCCTTTTCCCCCATATTTAGCACATCAACATGTTTTCCCAGTCACTGATACAACAAATCTTATGGTCTGTGGAACAAAATAAACTGTTCAAATAATTTTAAAAAGCTGTACTTATCGGTTGTTTTCTAAATTTATTTTATGTTTGTGAATATTTTGTAAATTTATTTTTATAAATTGTTTTCATTTTTTAAGGTACAAGGAGAACTTCAATTATTTTTTTTCTCTTATTGATTTACAAGTTGTTTACGTAACTCTAATTTTGGGAATACAACTTCACACCTCCATATGGGCACATACTTCTCTCCACCAAAATCCCCCAGTGATAGTAGCCTATCACAGTCCCTCCCTCGGGTTCCTCTCTGTCTCCCATATACACTCAGGTAACCACCATAACTTTTACAGAGTCTAAGAGTTATTTTTATTCTATTTTGCAAGTTTGTTTTCTTTGATTATTTATATTGATAAAATGACTGAAACCATTTGGTTTCATTTGTCTTTCACTTTCTGACTTATATCCATTTAACATAAGCACCTCAAGATCATTCCATTTTGTCCCCAAAGGCACTATTTCATTATTTTTAATAGCTGGGTAATAGTCCATTGAGTATATATCCCACACTTTCTTTACCCCGTTGTCTACTGATAGTTATTTAGGCTGGTTCCACGTCTTAACTGATGTGAATAATGTTGTTATGAACATAGGAGTACATCAGAATTTTTGTATTAGTGTTTTTATATTCTTTGAGTACTTAGAAGTGGTGTTGCTGTATCATATGGTATTTCCATTTTTAGTTTTTTGAGGAATCTCCATACCATTTTCTATAGAAGCTGTATCAATTTATATTCCCATCAACAGTGGATGAGTGTTCCTCTTTACATCCTCAGCAACATTTTTCTGTGATATATTTTTGTAGCCACAATCTAATAATACATATTTACTTTTGATAATTTGAAAGTTATAAAAAAGTAAAATTATTATAATACATCTCCCTAGAGATGATAAACACTCCTGTTGTATGTTTTTTTACCTTTTTATGTTATGCATACATATTTCCATAAAAATGCAATATTTTTATATTGTTTTATAATCTGTGTTAAAAAAGACTTAATACAGGGCCTCCCCGGTGGCGCAGTGGTTGAGCGCTGGGTTGCGAAGCTGCCCGCGGCCTCTGCAGCGCCGGTTTGATCCCCAGCTGCTCCCCGGCCACCGGAGGAGGGTCCCACATGGCGTGCAGACCTCTCCTGCCGCCCGCTGCTTCCCTCAGCAGTGTACTTCGGTCCTTCTGCCTGCTCTGCTCCCCTCTCTGGCTCTGGTGAATTCTCTCACCCTCCCGCGCTTCTGACTGTACCCAGTGCTTGTATAAATAAATAAATAAATAAATAAATAAATAAATAAATAAATAAATAAATAAATAAATAAATCTTAAAAAAAAAAGACTTAATACAACAAGAAATATTTTTTGCATGTCTGTGATATTTTCAGTGATTGTGAATAGGCCACTTTTATTTAGTTCTATGCTATTGAGATTCACCTGAAAATTTTTCATTTAGTAGTCCTGTAGAAAGCAGCCATCCTTATACATAAATATTTGTGAGCATCTATTTTAATTCAAAAAAAATTTCTATGAGTGATTTTTTTTTCATAGAAGAACTGGGATGTAGGCCAGAGGTATGGGGGTGACAGGATTCACCAGAGACTGAGTGGGGGGCAGAACAGGCAGATTTACTGAAACACACTGCTAAGGGGAGCAGGCAGGCAAGACAGGAGAGGTCTGCTGCACCATATGTGGGTTAGTTCCCTGACCAGGGATTGTACTCAGGCTGTCATGGTGATAGTGCTGAAACTTAACCACCTAGGCCACCGGGGAGGCCCTTCTGTGGGTGGTATTATTGGATTCAAGTGTATATAATTTTTTTTCAAAAAATTACAGATTTAGAGAATTTGCAAAGATACGACAGAGATTTCATGTGTACCCTTTACCACTTCCTCCTACTAGTTACATCTTACCAAATTATAGTATAGTATCAAAATCAGGAATTTAACATTGGTAAAAATGTGTGTAGGCAGTTTTATCGCATGTTTAGATTCATGTGACCATCAGCACAGTCCAGATACAGAACTGTTTCATCACCACAAAAATCTCTACCTCTCTCCCTCCCTCACATCTCCTGCTGCCCCCCAACTCTTATGACCCTTTACACAACCCCTACCTAGTCCCTGGCAACCACTAATCCGTTTTCTGTGTCAATATTTTTGTCATTTTGAGAATGTCATGTAAAAAGAATTATACAGTATATAAACTTTGAGAGTGATTTTTTTCTGCCAGCATAATTTCCTTGCAGCATTACATATATCAATAGTTTTGTTTCTGTTAATTTTTGAGTAGTATTCCATGATAAGCTATACATCTTCTGACCTCCATGGTTTCTAGTGATAAATCTGCTGTTATGTGAATTATTTTTCCACTATAGGTAATGGTTTTGTTTTCTCAGACTGCTTTCAAGATTTTTTTCATAGTCTTTAAGTTTTAGAAGTTTGTTTATGATGGCATGTGTTTCTTTCAGTTTATTCTATTTAGGATTCATACAGCTTTTTGAATCTATGAATTTCTGTTTTTTTTTTTTTTTTTTTTCTGAATTTGGGAAATTTTCACCCATTATTTCTTTGATTATTTTTCAGCCTCACCTTCTTTCTCCTTTTCTGGAATCCCTATGGCATGACTGTTGTATCTTTCACTATAGTTTTACATGTCCCTGAAGCTCTGTTCGTTTCTTTAATTCAAGAAGACTTATTATATCTGTTTATGATAATATACCCTGTTAGGCATAGTGCTTATACAAAGGAATATGGCCAAAGTGGTAACAATAATAAGATAGTATGAGGAGCAAGAAAAGCCCAAGCTACATGTGTTTCTGTTCATTTTCAGTCTATTTTCTCTCTTTTGTTCATATTGTACAATCTCTGTGGTTTTACTGTACTTTTCAGATTTAAATTTTCCATTTGTGGAATATACCACAAGGGTAAAGGAGCATAATACAGACATGTATATTAGAGTTATCAACACCTGACACACTGTGTAATTTTATTTATGTCCAATTGAATCCACAGTTTTAAGTGTTTACTTCCAGGTTGCTAAGATATATAAATGTCTCAAGTAGTCATTAAATTTGATCATTTTTTTTTTAATCTTCATTACTATCCAATCATCCTTTCTTTGTTAAATACTTCCTGAAGTTTGAATTGCTTTCCCATAATGCCCTGCAACATACTAATTAATCAGTGACCCATCTTAAGTAAATCAGCCCTTTCCTATCATTGCCCCTTCCTTCTTGGCCTCTGGATTCTGTTCCTGCTTAATTCATTTGGGGGCACTCTCTCATCCCCAAATCTCATTTTTCCCCAAATGAGATCACCTCATTCAGTAAAATCCCCTTACTGATTGAGAAGGATAAAACATGCCCTTGTGGTCTGTAGTCCTATGTAGCATGAAGTAACTGTTATTGTCACATTTTCTTCTAGAAACAGTCTCATAGCTGTTTTAAATATTCCCCTGGACTTTTCCCTAGAATTTTGACATTGTTT